TGATTTTTAATTTCTGAAGCCTCATCTCATGATATTCATATGAGAGATGTTACGTCACCGGTGTTGGAGTAATGGACGATTTTTTCAAATACAAATAGGGGTCATGTGACACCTTGATTGAAAGGTCTACCGATCGTCTATTCAACAGTCAAAATGTTGCATAAGAAGATTGAATTTAATATGGATTATCATGTGATTAATTGAATCTTCCAGAGGTCTGCTACTGAGAATTGAACATCGAAGGGTCGTCTAGTTAAAAAAATACGTCGAAAAAAAAAGTTCTAAACTCTAGTTTTTGTTTTTTTTTTTTCGAAAGTCGTCTCGTTTTGAAATGAATTTATTCCATACATTTGCATCATACTGTATACAATTATTATAAGTTAATTAACTCAGCTGTATACAATCTAGACTGCGGCCTCTGGTTATGGTGTGCATTTATCTCAAACATCGTTCTAGATTTTTTGTGCGCTTTTTTGTAATGTAATGAATTCATTACCCAACATGATGAATGGATTTATTCTAGAAAGTCTTGGCGGTATGACATCCAGAATCGATAGTGGTTGGCGCAATTCTCACAATTAAAACCAGTTATTCAATATATTTTGATCATCCTTACCACTTTCTCCACTCCTCATAACTCTGGTTTCATTTAGCCTAACCTCACCAAAGATACCTGAACGAATGGGAAAAAATTCGCACTACATAAAATGTCTATGGATATTCTAAATGTTTGAAATAATCATAATGCCACTGAAGATTATTTCCAGCATTCAAAATATCTCCCTACTTTTTCTGGAATAGTGAAATATTTAATTTTTTGAATGATATCCACTCACGTATCTTCAGAAATAGGGTTCAAGCGATAATAATCGGATTGAAGCGACCCTGTCTATATCAATGAGAAATTCTCTGTCAAAATGGCTGGCAAACATTCCTCATGCATTTGGAATTTCTCAAAGTGGTTATGAAATTAAGTGTCTCTGTTTCTCGTGAAGAATAATTTTAATGAAACAGCTTGCCTCCATGAAATTTTGTAGAGAGAAATTTTAATAAAACGAAGTAACAAGTTATAATTGAAGGACCATGAAGGTATTTGATGGCCTCTGAGCGATTTTTTTCATTACCAATTTCATTCATATTACTTGGAACGTTCCATAGCAACAAATTTTTTTTTGCTTAGGCAGATAAATTACACATTTTCTGCCTGTTGGGTTCCATAGAAAAGTCACTTTATATGTCGTTTGGAGAAGATAGTTATTTGTTTTACTAGGGAGGGCAAAGTATTAGATTGCCTTTCGCGGTCGATAGTAATAGGAAGTCAGCCAAGGCAGTCAATCTACTTTACTGTCATGTGAAACATATAATTTTTTCTCAAAATGTTATAAAACAATTTTTGTGTGATTTTGTTCATGAAAATCCCCATCATTTTGTGTTCACCCAATGTCAGTGTCAATTGTTATTACCAATTCTATAGCAACAAACTTTTTCTGTCTAGGCAGAGAAAGTACATCTTACCTGCCTGTTATGTGTCTTAGGAAATGCACTTTTTGTGCAATTTGGAGAAAATAGTTATTTGTTTTACTAGGCAGCAAAGTAGTAGATTTACTGCCGCATCCACGGCAGTCAATCTACTTTGCTGCCATGTGAAACATTTAGTTTCCTCTCCAAATGTTATTAAACCAATTTTGTGTATTTTTCTTTAAATGGCAACACAATCATTTTGTGTTCACCCAATGTCAGTGTCAATTTCGATTACCTACCAATTTCATCCAAATTACTTGGAAGGTTGCATAGCAACATACTTTTTCTGCCTAGACAAAGAAAATACACCTTTGCTGCCTGTTGAGTGTCATTGAAAAGTCCCTTTCTAAGCCGTTTGAAGATAGAATATTTTTTCTCTCTCTTCATTCAATGTTTTGCTGATAATAGATCTAAGCAGGCTGGAATTCGATCCTCATCATTGCATGGGATCTTGGCAGAAACAGGGTCGGTTCTGAAACTTGAAATATTCCGAATACTCTTGGATATACAAGGTGTTTTTGAAATAAATACATATAATCAGCACATCGATATGGTACAGTCTAACAAATATTCCCATGATATCAGATTTTTCCTAATTCTTCTGATTTTCAAGAAATTTCATCCCAAAAATTGGATGAAAAACAGGAAAAAACTTGAGTACGCCAGTGTAAAACAATTCAAATGATCTGACTCCGCGTGATTGTGCCTTCCGCACGAAAATTTGAATAAAGGTGACGTCAGAATTGCTACAGTGTGGAACTTGGGGTGGAAAAAGGGGTCTAACCTCAAATTTTATTTTGATCCCTATATTTTATTTATTGGTACCGCTCGATAGTATAAGTCGAGCTTACTGAAGGCTTGAAATATTTGCACTTATTTCAATGCCACCCTGTTTATGAGAAAAACCGAGATTTCCTGTAACCTTCTCCATTTAATTTCTTCAAGTTATTTGAAGAAATTCATCGACATGGGTGACACTTTATCGTTGCCAATTTTTCTTTTCTACAAGTTGACGTTTTCAAATTTGAAAGTCGAATCATCAGTAACCTATTTTTTCTTCAGGTACGTGCCTGGATTTTTTCTATAATTTTTTCACACCTTTGGATATCCCAAAAGTGATGAGCCATGACAAATTTGAGTTTTCGAATATTTCGTTGAAAAATTGAAAGTTTCGTTTACGAAATGATCAATATGGAATAAGCGTGCGGCGTAAATTCGACTAGTGTGTTCAACCTCATTGAGGAAGCCAACTTGTAGGAATGAAAAGGTGGTCATGATGAAGTGTCATTCATTTCGATTAATTTCTTCAAATATCTGAAGAATAAAGTGTTGGTTTCAAGAAATTTCGTTTTTTTTTCGTATATCTCCGAAAGTATTCAGAATTCTCTGAGTTTCGAAACGCCATTTTGTTAGGCATAAAATTGCGCATAATTCAACCAAACCTGTACCTGAAGATGAAATTGTATAGTTAGTTCAGAGTCTCCTCGTTTCATCACGAACATTATGGACCATTTCACGAGATCGACCTCCACCTTGACTGCCTTTTTTCTTCCGGATCAGGCGGGCCATAACCGTTTCCGGAGTCGATCTTGCAGTCCGCGGTCGACTCCGGGCTCCGAACTCCGAGTAATTGAAATTGAGGTGCCGCTACGGCTATTATACAAGCTGCCGAGGTGATTATGTTGCGCCGCAAATAGTCAATATTATGATTTAGAGCCGGGCTTTATTGTGATAACTTTGTTGATAGAAGGGAATTCTATCCATTTTCCGGGACAGAAGTTGGCCGGATTAAGACTCGCCTTATTGCTAACGGTTACGGTATGGAACGGAAATTCGTTGTTGCGAATTCAGGGGGATAAGTGAGTATCGTAGACCACAATAGGATTCATCATATTCTACCGTGCGTGACAAAAGCTACGATACTACGATACATATCTTTCTTATCTTTCTGCTCTTTATAAATGATTTACCATATCACTTAGACTCTGATTGTGTCATACTGTATGCGGATGATACTACTATTGCGGTCAGCACTGATACTCCGGAAGAACTCCAAAGTAAACTCAACATAGTCTCAGGGAACTTTACCAACTGGTGCTCAAAAAATCGTCTTATCGTTAACGCGAATAAGACTTTTTGTATGCAGTTCTCCTCAAGACTCAAACTCAATTATCCATTCAGAGTAATGGTAAATGATACCCCTATTGAACTATCGAAATCCACGAAATTTTTAGGAACGTTTGTCGACTCTGATATGAGTTGGACAACACATATAGATCATGTGAGCAAAAGGATCAATAGTGTGTATTATGCTGTTCTCCAACTGAAATATGTTTTCACTACATACCAGTTGCTTAATGTGTACTATGCATTAGTTTATTCGCATATGAGCAACAATGTAATATTATGGGGTAATGCAACTAACTCTATTAGAATTCTGATTTCTCAAAAAAGAATTATAAGACTAATTTTCAATCTTGATTACAGGGAAAGCTGTCGACCTATATTTCGAAAGCATAACTTGCTCACTTTTTACTCGATCTATATTTATCACTGTGTAATGTATACGAGAAGAAACCTACACAAGTTTCAAAAAAAATTCATATAATAATGATCATTTTACGCGCAATAGAAATCTCTTGCGTATACCTAGACACCGCACAAGTCTATATGAAAAGAGCCCTTTCTATATGGGGATAAAGTTTTTCAATCATCTGCCCATGTATATAACTATGAATGAAAATCTCACAAAGTTCAAGAATGATCTCAAAAATTTTCTCATTCAGGGTTGTTTTCACAATACCTCTGAGTTTTTCAATGCAAATAACTGTGTCGCTACCTGTTCTGTGTGAAATACTCTTTTATCTATTTTTTTATTTTTGTTATATGTATCAACGTTGATTTATTTGACCTGTCCAATATTACTTTATAATCTGATTAATAAATTATTATTATTATTATTATTATTATTATTATTACTAGCAAAGCAACGTAATCATATGCAGGTGTTTACATCGGAGCAGAATGGGCTTCACGTTTGATAGTGAATAAACGGCATTCAATTACTCCACTGTATCGTTAGGAACCCGATAGTATATTGTGAGAACTGAAAGTACTGTTGAATGTTCGTGATAATTACAACAGATGTCGCTACCGATATCGAACTATCAATCGAACTATTATGATATATCAATAACTGTTGATAGTATTCATTATAAATGACTTATTAGATGCACGAGCGAAGCAAGGGCAGCTGGTAGGTAAAGGCTGCTGGTAGCTAAGGGTTACTGAAGCTCATTTTCTGCCCTTGTGCCACAATATACTATATCAGTTTTAAGGTAACGAATATTGACTTTTTTCTGGATTCTAATCATTCTTATAACTATTAAAGTCCTATAATATGAAGAAGGTTGAATATTGTCAACCCCACATAATATCCAAAATTGTTTCACTGTCTCTAACTCATTGTTTTGTTACAGAATGGAAATTGTCCCTCCATGCACAAAGAATCATATTATAAAGGTAAGAGGTAAAAGGTAGATCCATCTATACAGGGTGTCCGGTAAAACAAAAATCGTCACAAACACGACCCCAACGTCTTTTTGACGCTTTTACTCATTGTAGCCGCTTCACTCTGTAACTCAAACTGGAGACACATTTCATCTAGGTGATTTGGGTTGAATCTCCATATTATGAGCTCAAAATTCTGCAGTTGAAATATTCTCAAAACACAATGCTCAAAAAGTTCTTATGCGACGAATGTTTTCATTTTACATATGAATTTCTGAACAAGAAATATTAGATGTTTATACAGTCTGTCCAAGATAAGGTTGCACAGCATGGGGATCTCGGAAACGGTAGGAGATGCGAAGTCGGTTAAATTAGGAAAAAGTTGCGCATTCGGAGGCTCATACCAACAGCCTTCGAAAATTTTCAATTTTTTTTTTAGTTTTTCAGTTATATCGAAAAAAGTGAATTTTTGGAATCTTTATTTTATTTTTTTTCTCCGTTATTATTAGAGATACAGGAAAACTGAAAATACTTTTTCATAGCAACTTTTGATGACGTTTAACGTGGTGCTACCGATTTTTCTATGCGACGTTTAGTATTCGTAGAACCATCATCAACTTTTGTTTTTTATATACGGCCCTGGTAATTCTTTCACAGATTCTGAAAGCTTTTTTCATTCTGAATTCAACCATGTATTATATAAGGTGGTTTGAATGTGTTTCGTACTATTTTTAGCCATCATCAATGTTTTTTTCAAAGTTCCAAAGGAAAAATGCCATCAGTTCCACTTATTTTGAAAGAAAATTAGCCAACAAACTAATACCTCATCAACTAGTTCCGATTGATAGACTTATAGGAATAATTAGTTCGAAAAATTTAATTATGACAAGCTCCTTCGGATTAAAATATGAATACAATTCATAAACAATTCGAAGCGCTGCATCCCAGATAGCACGGGACGTCCCGAAGACGTCCATTATTGGACATACTCCGGACGTCCAGAAAAAGACGTCTTTAAAACGTCCAATTCACAGACTCCCACGGTATATGAGTTTAAATAAATATAAGTAGGGAGGTTTTTATTAATTTCAAAATTGGAATTATTGATTTGATAATGGACTTGAATGATGTCAAGAAATATATTATATATCAGCTGTATCAATATAATATATTTCATTTTATGATTAATATTATGAATTTGAAATATTGATGATTTTAAGTGATTTGTACCTACTTATATAGTTATGTTTATATTACTTCAATCACATAATACATATACAGTTTGACCATTCTTAAACCCACACTGAAGTATTCATACAAGCCGCGCTTTTATAATAAGATTTGATTGAATCACTGAATATGTAAAGCAACCGTAGAACGCATGCGTGCTCAGCGTAGCCAGACTTACTATTTTAACAATAGATCTACTGTTTTTGTCTCCGTTCCACTGTTCAACTATTCAAGGCAATGGTCTGATTGGTTATGTTTTGATATGACATAACTACCTAATATGCAACAATGAAAAATTAATGGGATATCACAGTAAGAAGATCTATGATAAAAATATACTGCAACTATCATATTCAGTCTGATTAGTAAAAATTAGCTCTTATTTTCAATCTGGTTGCGGTTTTTACAAATCTCATATTTTATTTCATTATTTTTTGTTATTCTTCGTTTGATTTTTATTAGGTATAATAGAGACCGAACATGATTTTTTTTTTTCGTTTATTATATAGGTGACTATGTTTTTTCATTTATAATAGCAAATTATGATGATAATCAAAATCTTCTGTTCAGTTTTGATGATCTACTGTTTTTTCCTCACCCATCTACTGCTCCGACAAATTTTCATCCGGCAACACTGTGCGTGTTACGTGAAACGAAATGGGAAGATGGCGTTCGTCAGTTGACCACTGCCGAGTGCCGATTAAACTGTGATTCAGGTCCAAGGGCATTCTGAACTTTTCGGGTTATTGGACTGTAAAAGCAGTGAATAAGTGAAATCTTTGCGGATATCATCTTTCAACTGGTGAACTTCGAACTCGACTTCTATTGAGATGTTTATTTGTGCTAACAGCAGCATGAAGGCAAGTATGGCTATCGACGCTATCGTTTTAATTTCATTCGCTTGAAGGTGCTTGAGTAAGAACATCGAATCTGAAGTTGAAAACATTAGATACCTTTCTATATAATTTGATTTCATGCAAAGCTCTACCTAATCCTATTTCCATCATCTACAAAAGTTTATATTTTCGTATATAGTTAAAACATAATATATTTCGTGCAAGGTTCAAAGAGGTTATACATAGGTACCTACCTAAGAATCAGTTCATGTTTGCAATAATTTCTCAATGGAATAAAAATAATGAAGTATTAAGCTATACTGACTACTACACGCTGAAAGTGGGTGTGTGTTTATGGTTCATGGTATTCACAAAAGATGTTATTGAATATTATTATTATTTACAGATCCAGTGAAGAAGACAACAGCAGAAGGCTGCCAATCAGAAAAAGATATCATCGCGCCTGCGTAACTGGATGAATCACGCGACGTTTTTAGTGGTGCAGCTGCTGATATACGATATGGAAGAGTGAAATTGAAACATAACTACCTAAATCTCTGTTCATATTTTTGTTTGCGAATAAATGTTTACTAATATTCAAGTATTTCACTCTTCAGATGGGTCAGAAAATGAATAATCAATATTATCTGAATGTCCTCAATACGTCCATTTTTCATACCAAAAAGGTCCTAGTCTGGACCTAAACTGGACGTCCCCAAAACATCCTGATTATTAACAATGGACGTCCCCAAAACGTCCATAAGACGTCCGTCGTCCGGAAATGGACGTCCCCAAAACGTCCTGAATGTCCAGAGTGGACGTTTTTAAAACGTCCATAAGACGTATTTGTGCTGATTGGGATTGAATAATTTAGTGGATTTTTTCTTCACTTTTCAGTATTGAATAACTAGTCCATCAATGTTTGACACTGAATAATCAGAAATAAGTGAAACTGATGGCAGTTTTCCTCCGGAATTTCGAAAAAACATTGATGATGGCTAAAAATAGTCCGAAACACATTCAAATCACCTTGTATAATACATGGTTGAATTCAGAATGAAAAAAGCTTTCAGAATCTGTGAAAGAATTACCAGGACCGTATTTGAAAAACAAAAGTTGGTTCGCATAGAAAAATCGGTATCACCACGTTAAACGTCATCAAAAGTTGCTATGAAAAAGTATTTTCAGTTTTTCTGTATCTCTGATTATAACGGAGAAAAAAAAAATAGATATTCCAAAATTTCACTTTTTTCGATATAACTGGAAAACTTGAAACAATTTTGAAAATTTTCGAAGGCTGTTGGTATGAGCCTCCGAATGCGCAACTCTTTCCCCATTTAACCAATTTCATATCTCCTACCGTTTCCGAGATCCCCATGCTGTGGAACCTTATCTTGGACAGACTGTATATATGTTTCACTGAGTTACTGTATTGTGATGTATTTATAGTTATATATAGTTCTTATTGTTATTTTATTTTGACGAGAAATTTCTTCCACTGACATATTATTATCCTATATCATGTTCCTTTGTGGTCAAAACGGATAAATAAATTATTATTATTTTTCCCAATTAGTAATGAATCACATTGTATGAGTAAAATTCCATGTTGCTTCAATACACCTTCATTATATTCTTCGTCACTATAGAAAATATGTAACTTCTGGAAAATATGATCAATAAGTACTAAAATCGGACTACTATTGTGGAAATCAGCACTTATTTTGCAACAGTGTAACCTGACAATCACGCGTGCGAAACACTAATGTAGTCTCCTTGTTTTCAGCTAATAAGTGGCCGAATTTGAGGGAGCAACATCCCTTCCATACCTTGCACTCGTTGCACTGAGAGGAGAGCGCCAACCTGCCCGTGAGCCCAGGTCCCGTGAGGTCCCCTGAGGTCCCGGGGACCGACGGAGACCCACGCAGGTCCACTCAGTGTCTCCCCCTCCCGCCAATGCGCTCCTGTAAATATAAAGCGACGAAAACAGACATATTTTGTGATATGTATGCAATAATGACCAAAGTGTTTTAGTGCAAACGCGCGTTTTATATAGGGTTCAGGGGTGGCTGAAATGGGTCTCGTAAAATAAGAGCTATACAGGGTCGGTTTTTTGAAAATTCGTAAAATAGGAATTCCTTGATGGAGAAATCCGAAAAAACCCCGAGTTTTATAAAACCGTCTCATCTATGTAATTGGATGTTATTCGGAGTTTCTCGAAATGAAGAACATACTTCATCAATACCACTTCTTCTATTCTCCACCTAATTCCTTATGTTTCTATGACAAAAATGAACGTTCGTGTACTCATTTAATATCAAAACGACTCAGAAACTCGGATTTTCAGAATAACCTATCGAAAGCTTGTAATACGGAACAATATACGAGAGATCATTGAGATCAATAATAGCGCTTAAGTAAAGTATATGCAATATATGCATGAATGCATGCATATTTCATGTATTCTGTAATATACATACAATGTATGTAGTTGAAGTTGTTATTCATTCATATATTTCATATCAGCTCTCTATTCAATATAGCATTTCATCAGAACCATATTTTCACTTATAAGTTGTGAAATAAAGATTGTTTCGAAATCGTGGTTTCCGAGTATTTTATGAAGAATACAGAAAATGTCATAGAAATATTCAAAGGTTTTGAGGTGTCCAATGATAACAAAAGATATGAAACAAAAGAATAAAAAATACAGCTGCATACCAAACATAATGATAAAATTGTGTGAGTGTCAGATTCGAAAACGCCATCTCGAGGAACGATCATAAATAACGGTGAAATAACGTCGAATAATATCCATACATGTATATACTCAGAATTTTGAGAAGTTATTTTGTTCAGCAAAAGGTGTATACAACAATGGCTTTATTCGATCGACTCTGTATATCTTAGGATTTTCGAAATCGCAATGTGAGGCTTGAATTTTAGACACCCTGTATACGGTTTTGGAACAGTCTTCCGAGCAACGATCTGCTAGGAATATTTTTGCAACACAAATTGACCATGGATTGACATAACAATATTGAATATATAATATGTCAGCCACAATTTTGAGTGAACTGAAACTAAATTACATTTATGAACTGTTTTTCTATAATTCTGTGAATGAAACATGTTTTCATCATTATTATAAAAATTACAATTCAAAAACTGGTAAGGTTGTGTACTGCAATTTTGTAAACAAAATTGAAAATGGGTGTAACCTATCTGGAATCACATAAGGATTTCAAAAATAGCAAAATGATTGGCGGTTGCCATTGTGAATTTCAAGTGTAATTGCCCTGACGGTGAAGAGGTTCAAATGTATTGTAACAACGAATACCTCAAAATTTGTCCGTCCTGATATATAAATTGACGTGTTTCGACGGTGGTTTCAGAATAATTGTCACCCTAAAACAACAAATATACAGGGTATGTCACGACGAGCTATAACTATCTCTATATTTAGAATACGCTCTCTCCATTCAAAATGTTTTCAGCAATGCAGTGTTGCCACTTATATCAAAAAGAAGCAACAACTTTGTTATTACAAATAGATTACCCTGTATTTCATTGCATTTTCAGATTCTCCCTGAAGATCTGATCTCATCGATACATCACACTTAGGGTATATCGGAAATATTCACTGATATTCAATCGCAACAAATACAGGGTGATCAGAATTCTGAATCTTGAACCACCCTGTATCTGTTCCAATTAAATATCAGTAAATAAACTGGGCGTCAATTGAAACGTTAATAGTGAAATTTGGCATCAAGTTTGACTCCTCGTAATTTCTAAAATATTGAACGAATTTCGAATTGCCGCCCAGATTCCGAATGCCTTTTTCATCGTCTCTCGAACCGTTCCTTACAGCTTCTTCTAAATTGATCAGGACCCGTGATACAGGGTGAAACAAAGTTTCGTGCATTTTGAAAAAAATTTCTCCTCCTTGTCAGAAGACCACGATGCTAATATTTTATTCGGGCATTTCATAAATAGCAATCATACCTTGAGACGTTTTCGAGTTTCTGCCAAAAACTACTGTAGTTTCCGAAAAAAAAATGTTTTTTGCATTTTTTCTAAATGGACTAATTTCAGAGAAGTTCCATAAATGGTTGCTTTTATGCATTTCAGGAAATCGTTGGAGCAGATATGTATACCAGGTTACTCAAAAACAATCAATAATTTATTACTTAGCAGTCTATGATGAAAGTTTTCTACCTTAGTGAGCAGTAAATCAACACATCTCATCAACAAATACAAACAAGGATACCTTGTTTTTATAACAGCGAATTGTTGAAACAATGAAGGTATGCATAGAGGTTATATCAATTGCTAATTTTCATGAAAACGTCAGTGTAATTCGGGTCCTAAAAAATTTAAAGATGACTCGTTCAAATCGGGTCGAAATGGAAAATATCATCAGGTAAGATCACTTTAGTGATATAAACTATAATTCAGTACAGATGATTATTATTTCAGGTTACGACGATTAGGATATACCCAAACTCATTTAAGTACCATTTTCAATAAGTCAGTCATGACAATAAAGAGACTGACTCATCGATTTGGTGATACAGGTAATTAGTCCATTTAAAAAAAAATGCTAAAAAAATTTTTTTTTTCGGAAACCACAGTAGTTTTTGACAAAAACTCGAAAATGTCCCGAGGTATGGTTGCTATTTATGAAATGCCTGAATAAAATATGAGCATCGTCGTCTTCCGACAAAATGGGGGGGCGGAGAAATTTTTTTCAAAATGCACGTAACTTTGTTTCACCCTGTATCATGGATCCTGAACAATTTAGAAGAAGCTCTAAGGAACGGTTCGAAAGACGATGAAAAAGACATTCAGAATTTGGGCGGCAATTCAAAATTCGTTCAATATTTTAGAAATTACTAGAAGTCAAACTTGATGCCAAATTTCACTATTAACGTTTCAATTGACGCCCAGTTTAGTTAATCTTATGTTGATATAGGGACATGTGAGCTGTTTCGACCGAACATGAATAGTGTCGACACAAAAAAAATCCCAAAGTTGACAAATCTCGATTTTGAACACCTTATATCTTTGTAATCAATTTCGATAGAGCACAAGTGTGTATCGATGGAATCAGCTCTCCAGGGAGAACATAGAAATGCGATAAAATACAGGGTGTTTCATTTGAAATATCAATTTTAGTAGAAGCGGCAACACTGCATTGTCGAAAATATTTTGAATGGAGAAAGCGTATTCTAAAATATGGGCATGCACATTTTCATGGATTTCTCCTGACTGATTCTCGACATGAAGATAGTGTAAGCTCGTCGTGACACACCCTGTATAAGGGTGTCAACTGTCAAAGTTCTAAAGGACAAATACTGCATAATCTACTTAAAGGATATTATCGAAACAAAACACCGTTAGAAGCTAACAAATCTCTGCGTGAAAAAAGGAATCAAATTACATACACTTGAGTTTCTATTGGATTAGCTTATTGCGATTGTAAAGATTAGAAACTTGGATGGTTTTTATTAAAATTATTATATCATCTTACATCTTCATAGATCGTCTATTATCCGAGAATGAAGTTCCAAAACTGTTAACATCCTATAGTGGGCATCATTGAAATGGATTATTGTCAAAAAGGCATTGCGAAACATTTTAATCCAACTCAATATTGGTATTTTCATCTCTTCCATGAATAATTTTTTTTCCTTATAGACATCAAGTTAATTTTTTATTCAATTGAGAATTTGAGGTGTAGAACTGAAAACTTCAATGATGCCCTATGTTCACTAGTTGTTAAAATTGGGTAAATTCATTATATTATTCCGATGATATAGAAATATACGAAGGCCTGGAAGTACGAAGACCTGGAAGGGACACGTAAAATTAAAAAAAATTAACTCTTCAAAATTCTGAGTTTTAACTCGGAATTTTGAAATTCCGACTTATAACTCGGAATCATTGTGTGTTTGACCAACGAGAAAGTTCACATTTGCTGCCTCTTTAGTGTCATAGAAAAGCCACTTTCCATGCTGGAAAAAATCCTATCTACACATATATAATCAATAAACAGTTCAGTTCCCTTCTTGGTACCATAAAAACTGTACAGGAAAAATATTGTCCTAGAGAGAAGGTAATTTTCGTGGATTTGCAAAGGAATTTGTTCGTATCGTAAAAGTAATTGAATGGAAAATAATGGAAACAGGCCACGTTATATGAGATCCAGTTGAACTGGAAAGATAATGGGAATTGGCTTCTAAGAAGTTGGAAATTGAATCACTGTGGAAGTATGTCCAATAATATACGTATGAAGCTATAATAGCTATGAGTGAAAATATATGAATTTACTCCGAAAACTGTCTAGAGTAAGTAGCTATTTTATATCAAATGAAAAATGAACTTTGATTTAGTGAAAGAGGTTGAACTGTATATACCTAAACACATTCGAAATTGAGTGTGACAATTAAACAATAACTCGAAAATTATGTCCAGTAAATAAATAATTAATGAAATTTAAGTCAATACGATGTGTTAAGGATGACTATTTTTTGCTATAGAACTACTTTATATCGAATATTATATCATTAATGCTCTATGTTTTTAGTTGTTACCAATTATAATGATACCGTCTGTGTCAGCTTCGACAAAAGATGTTCTCGAAATAACAAGAAAATATATAATATACTGCCCTGCGAAAAAAACGGTCACTGGAAAATACTATTTTCTCAATCTTGCACACTGTATGTGGGTTTACTAAAATTGAAATTAGAATAAAAATCACCATTGATTAATCAATCTGTAGTTTGAATGAAGAAATTCACAAAATCTGATAAACGGTTCCGAAAAAAGCCAACTGAATTTTGAAGATAATTTTTAGTGACCGATTTCTGTGTAGGGCAGTGTATATCAAGAGATGGAAGTGATTAAATGGAGATCTAGATTTCTGATATTTCCATATGCTACAAGCACCATACCATAGAATTATGAATTCTCAATTAAAACAGGTCAATTACTGATCCCTGTGGAACACCAGTATCTACTTAAAGTTTTAAATCTTTATATGCTTTATTCATTTAACCAACTTCATTCAT